TGAGAAATTAATCAACTTGAAGAAATGCATTGAAACTACCGGCGAGTGAACCGGATTAGCAAATGACTCATTTTTTCGATTTCTACAAAGTGAACTTCGCAAGCAGGAACCTGAGACAGCTGAAGATAACCCGCATGGCAGTTGTAATATTCCTAACAATTCCCATAATAGTACATCTTATAAGTATAGCCAAGGACTGTTTAATGACTGACTGCGAAATATTCGTTAGATACGTTGGGAGAGCAATTAGCAGGAACTGCGAAGAACTTGATAGTTTTCTATCGACATTTTTTCATCAGACAAGTGTTCTGGAAAAGAAACGACACACAATTGACAAAGATTATTACTTTGGAGAAAGAATCAACGCGTTTTGACGAGATTGTCATGGTTACCTCTGTTCAGACGAAATCCAACGTTTCGTTTACGAATTTCGTCGTTTTTACTGCGTTTTTACTACAGAAAGGTGTTAGGAATTGCCTGGCTCACCCCAAATCGATCCTTGAATGCGTTCAACACGTTTTACTGAGCTTTCTGCACGTCGCCTCTGATGACTGCGAGATCGTGGCGTCTAAAATGGAAATGGTTGGATTCCAAGAACTTTGACACGCGGAACATGTTTCACACGCGGCTGCCCAGGATCTGAAGCGATCATTCGGTGACACTCCGAACCAGAGAGTATATTACCGCTCCAAACTAACAGGAAGCAGTTGACTATCTACGTCAAGGAACTTTGTACGAAGTGAGTATTTGGTCAACTGGGGAGAAATTCGCGCGGCTTTTTTTGAGTATATTTCCTAGGCGGGAAGTTTGAAATGGAGCAGAGTTCAAAGGGGCAGAGTTGGAAATACTGCGATTTTTCCAACTCTGCCCCTGGCAGGTATCAGCTGTTGACGGTTTCATTAAATCGGGGAACTTGAACGTCTCGGTAGTGACAGCTGAATCAACACCACCTTGTCCTAGTATCTAGACGGTGTTGGCTAAACCTACCAGGAACTGAGTTGAAACGAATGGTGCAACAGAATAGCACACTTTCCCGTATTGGTTTCCTATTTTCATTGGTCTCGGCTAGTTATTCGGACTTGCCACATACTCTTGCCAGCTGCTATCTACCGCCGCCCAAAGTACATTTTTTTCAAATTTTCTTAATTTTTTCGGATTCCTAATAGTACATCGAAAATATTTTAAGAATATTAAAGAACAGTAAAACCTCGCCCTCAAGGGCAACTTTGAAAAATTTGAATCTGTTTTCAAATAAATTGCTTTAAAGCGTGTCTGCAAATTCAAAATTTTAACCTCTCTTCAATGAAAACAATTGAGTTTCGGAAAAATTCATATAACGTGATTTCAAGTACTTCTAGTCACAATTGCAAAAGTGCTTACAAATTGCTGAAAATGTGCATATTAACGTCGTGAGAGATCTTTCAAAAAATTATATTTGTGTAATTCTTGAAAATCAGTTGAACAAAATTTATCTTTAATTTTGTAGTTATAGGAAGAAGCCCGAAAAGTTTTGAAATATTCGAAAATTCAGAGTTAAACCTGAAAATCGGAACTATGCTAGCTTTTTAAGTGTATTTTACTCTATTTAACAAGAATTTTAAACAAAAAATTGGAGCAGTTTTTGAGAAAATTTTGAAAATGTTCGTGGGATTCATGTAAAGAATTACATATTCTATTATACAAAATAGAAGAGAATTTTCCTTCAAATAAAATTTATTTTCCGTAGTGATTTCTTTCATTAAGGTCATGTACATTTTTTCAAAATTTGAGTAGTTTTCGCGCAATATTGCGTGCAATATGTGCAATTATAAAAAAATCACAAAATCAAGATTTTCTTAAATACGGTTCCAAATGTTTTCTTTAAACTTTTGGTAGGGATAGTGCTAAATGTAGTCTATAAGATCACATAAACGCCATATTGTTCTGTTCTTTTGTTTTTTCAAAAATTAGAAAAATTTAATTTTTTGATTTGCTTCTAATGTCGTTAATATTTATATTAGCAGAAATTTGTTAATATTATTGTATCAATGAGTACATGTGCTTTAAATATTGTCCTAGTTTCTCGAAAACTACCGTTTTTATGTGATAACTAACTCAATGCCCCGCATTTTCAGATACGCTCAAAAGCCATTTTCTCAAAAGCGTCACCAATTTTTTCTTTAAACATTTCGCACGGATAGTGGTAATTGTACTCTTTAATATGAGGTAAAGCTAATTTCGGTGTTTTTTAAAGAATACACAAATGTAATTTGTTTGAAAATCTCTCACGCCGTCGATATGCACATTTTCAGCAATTGGTAAACAATATTGTATTTGTGAGTTTAAATACTTGCAATTACGTCAAATGAAGTGTTTCGAAAACTCAAAAATTTTCTGTAAAAACGCTTCAAATGCATATGTACAGTAGCGCTTAAACGTCATATTTTTAAAAACGGCTACAAATATTTGAAAAAAATCGACATTTAGGACGAAGTTTTACTGTTCTTTAATAATTTGAAAATAATATTTCGGCTCTAGGAAACTGAAAAATTAAGAAAATGTCAAAAAATGTGCTTTGGGCGGCGATAGATGGCAAGGCAAGAATATATGGCAAGTTCGAATAGCTAACCGAGACAAAAGGAAATAGAAAATTAATACGGGAAAGTCTGTGCCATTCTTTCACCACTAGTTCAAAGCGGAGCTGGCAACAACGCAATGCAACAGCGCCGCACTGAAAAACGAAGGCGTCGGCTAGGTCGTAAAAGGGGTAAAAGGCCAGTTCTATACCACCTCCAGTCTAAACATCTCTTCTGTGATGGGCAGTATAACGGTTTTATACGCAGTATAAAGATACTTATATTGCTGCGAAGAAAAAAAACGAAAAAACAAAAAACAAAAACGGCGTATCTTCGACAGAAAAACTCTTATTCCCTACATTATATATATATATATATATATATATATATATATATATATATCTGTGTGTGTGTGTAAAATTAATTTATATTAATATAATAATTATTAATTAAATTGTGTTACCAGAATCCATCTTTTGTGGATCCTTGATACCAAAAAAGTGATTGACGACCAGTCTGTCTATCCGTCAACAACGTTAGCGGCTAAATCGTAAGTAGGATTGTTTCCAAATAAGATATTCCCCAATTGATCTGGTTGATCATGCTATCCCTTGAATTTGAAACAGATATTTCAACTTTCGGGAGGTACTCTATGTAAAGCCCCTGGGACATTCTCAAAAAAATGGTACTATGTTTTTTATTAAATTTTGACCTCGGATAGAGTAAAGGACGCTTAAGAGAATGGTGCAAGTCTCATTTTTTATGAAATTCCATATTTTTTGGATATTGCAAAAATTAAGATTTTTTCGTCTTCCTACCACTACAATTACGAAGATAATTTTTTTATTAATGAAATGCATTCATCATAAACATCTTCAAATATGATCACATTCAAAACATTTGCTTGAATAGAATTAGTTATCGCACCTAATGTTCTACGATTGGCAGCAAGTTATACCTAGAATGATGACAGATATATTGATATGGACAGAAATTGCAGTAGAATAATATTTCAAAACAATTACTTACGGCGAGAACGTATGTGCTGCTTTAGCTGCACTAGTTTACTTTCACATTACTGTATACGCAGTATAGAGAAACTTGTATTGCTGCAGAAAAAAATGGCGTATCACATTCAAATATTTGAAAATGAATATTTTTTGCACTAAATACAAATTTTAAATTTTAAACAATTTTTTTTTTCATAAATGTTTGTCAAGAACATGTCACACATAGGTGACATTATTCCTTGATTCGCTTGTTTACAATAATATGCACATGGATGAACATTTATACAGAAAAAACTTGACTTACTTGAAATATCATAAAATAGAGGACTGTCATTCAAAGACGTACTTGTAGTATAAACTTGCAAAAATTTTAAGAAAATTAATTGATTAGTTTTCATTTCAATGAAATTGTAATTGATCAATTGGAACAATAATTATAATTTAATTAATCAACATTTTGCTTTCAATTAATAAACATCTTCAATTTGTTGCTGCCTTCAGCACTCCTGTACATTTGAACATTACCAAAACAACAACAAAGCAAAAATGAGTAGATGTTGACAAAAATATAGGTCTACTGAGTGTGGCATGAAGTATTATGGACTTTTATAGGAGTGAGAGAACAATCAGTTAATTTGTGAATGGCATTCGGTGATATCTCAGAAAAATTTCAGTTGATTCCTTAAGGTTAACAAAAACAAATATGGTTCATTTTCAATCACTGTGGTTTTATTTTGAAGTATGTTTTGATGTACAACTTATAAATATAAAATAGTACTTTTTATTTTTTCCGTTACTCAGCATTCTATTACAAAGAACAATTATTTCCATAACAAATAAACACAATGCATATCAAAACGAGAGAAATTTCCCTTGAATATGATACATAGCACAAACATAAAATCTGAAAGCAGAAAAGAAACATTTCACAAAAACAAAACATATAAATCAGAAGGCCAAATTTGTACCAAACAACTTTGGAGAACAAGTACTATCTCATGTAATACCCCAAGGCACTTATACCACAAATATAAAGCTCTGTTCTTATATAATATAAATTCATTTTCATCATAACAGAACATAGACATTTTTCTGAACTAAAGTTTCTTTTCACATGACCTACTGCCTCATACGTTGTGAGAAGCAGAACAACCATTATTTGCAGTGGACTACAACAACTGATATGATTCAATGGAAGACTCAAGGACAAAAAAAAAAAAAAGTAAATAATCCATCTATGAAAGTCAGTCAAAAACAGATATGGGAGAGTTATGTAACCCAATTTTAACATATTTTTGGCAGTTTTGTTCAACATAATTTCAAATGTCCACAAATTTTAATTCCCTCCATGGTCCTTAGAGTAGTTTGCTTTAAATTAATAATACACTTACCACTAGTTATTAACTTTCTTTCTACCTTTCCTTGATCTTTCTACCTTATCCAAGTGGACTGTATAATTATCACCTTTATAAATATTTCCTGCTAATGCCCACCATACTAGAAAATTTAATAAAATGTCTGCTTGGAATACATATAATTCTTTATAAAATGCAGACTTTTTCTAACATCAATATTGCATCATTCTTGTAAATCTGAACACTTCCATGAGAACAGTCTGGTGAATCACAGATCAAAAGAAGCAAATTTGGCTACTGTTCAGCCTTCCATTGAAACACCATCAATATTATTTTCTAATTACATTGCAAATTCATAAGGCTAATAAGATTATAATCTCTCACAAGTACTCCATTCACACTGTGAAGTAAAATTAGAATCAACATTAAAAATGAACAGAAAACACAATTTAATGTGTATGAATCTTAGAGAAAATACTAATTAACTTGAACTAAAAGTAATGTATGTTTACAGCATAACATTAACAATAAATGCATAGGACTAGGTATTGGAAAATGTGTCTCTATGTCAATGGGCAAAGTACATTCATGAGAAGACAATACCCATACCAAATAAATGATTAGGGAATTAAAAAACACATGATTAGAAGTGGAATAAATTGAACTATCAAATCAAAGTCTGGAAAGATATTGAATCTCTTAAATCTTCCAAATCCTTCACATAATTATTTTAAAAAAATATAATAAAAGGTAATATTGGAAACATCCAACAATAGTTTAAAGAAACTGCTGCGATTTGGGGTAGACAACAGTCTTTCATAATTTTATAAATCAATTCCAGCAAACTGAAATTTCATTTTAAAAATCTAGTATTTCTTTACTTCAGTCAGTAAGCTGCAGAAACTTTGCTTTTCTTCCACAATAAAATCAATAGTATCTTTGATATAAATTACTGATCTCTTTTATGCTCTTTATGAGAGGTCACCAGATATGGATATTAAAAACTTGGTTTTGAAGATGAAAACATGTTCTTAACAGTTCATAAACTCTGCAGCTTCTAAAACATCAATATTTTTAAATGAGTAATAAGTATATTTTTTTATGTCAATGTAAGTTTCTGCAGATCTTTGATGTTACTGAACACACTAATTAATGAATAACAAACAACATACTAAAAAAGAAAATTGCAATGAGCTGGACTAAATATCTGCTTTAAGACAATTCAAAAGTCAACAACAACAACAACAACAACAACAAAAATTATAATGAACAGCATTCTGGCCTTGTAAATATACAATGATTACAAACGTTTATTCTTACGCATCATAACTAATATTAATAGTGCATTTTATAATTTTGCACAAATAAACCCTATTTACAGTTTTTATCATGTGAGTGAATGAAGTTTTTATATTCTAGCCATATAATTACATAATTGATTACAACTTCATTTGCTCATGAATAAATTTCTCCAATCTTGCCTTCTTTAGTTTTAATACTTTTTACAAGATATGAATTTAATTACATCCTTTATGAAATTTTTTTAAAAACAAATTCATTTCTCTTTTGTTTTTTACAAAACAAAAATTATTTTGGTTTGTAATTTTTCATACTATTATTAGTATGAAAATTAATATTATTAGTATACTATTATGACAAAGTAATTACATTGAAAACAACAAAATAAATATTTATTTCAATATCATTCCCTTATAGCAACCAAAATACATTGTTTTGTCAATAAAGAATAGGGAAATACGACAAGAATACTGTTCAAAAACTACTCATATCTGTGTTTTAACACAAAACAAGCATTAAATGATAGTTCACAAAGACCATTCATTCTCAGTCTCAAAACATACAATTACATTATTATTTATATTAGTCAGTGCTTTGTAGTAATCACATACTTAAAATTGTGCATATTAAAACTTCGTAACTATTGTATTATTCTTTGCAATTATAAATAAAATGAAGTAACAGACTACTGGAAGACAACTAATTATTAATTTCACAACACAAAGGGTAGATGACGCTTTCACAAAACACGGAAATTAAGACTTTAAGATACCTTTTTAGCGTAATAAGCTTGTTTACATGTAAGACATAAAATTCATAAAAAAGGCAATGTCAACTGTAACATTCTACAGATAATAGAACTATTGTAGTGAATACCAAATGTTTATTTGTAAAAAAATGAACTAGAGGATTAAATAACTCATGAGATAGATAATCAACTATTTTTATAATAATTAGTTCTTATCCAAATTTATAATTCAGGTTTTGATTAATTATCAGTTTTATACTGTCACAGTTGAAAATCTAGCCTTTATTCCTCATGAATCATTGCTTTTTCTTTATCAGGAAGAATCCCTATTGAACGCTTCAGCCATTACATCATTTTAAAAATTACTACAATTCTAATCAATTCCAACAAAGTGAATCCTGAAAAATGGATACATGGCGAGGAACAAATACATATAAATATGTATATGAAACTACACAGCAGTATTAACAATTATTTCTGAATGTAGAAGATTATAAAAAGCAGAGTTTACATAAAATGTTTGCAAAGTAATGAAAAGAAAAGAATTAAATTTTCTTACTGAGCAGAACACAGAAGAATAGTCATTCGATCCGAATAACAAATAAGAAGAGGAATAGAAGCTCACTAGAAACCTTTTGCAACTGAAATTGTGTCGTGCACAGAAGATATTATTACTATCTTCCATGAACGACATAAACACATGAAACCGAGCTTAATTTGAAGCATCAGAACATGAGCTTGTGAAATGAAATAAAAATAAGAAACGGCTTTATATTACATCAGTCTTCATCAATAAAAAATGAAAATAACGTTTTCTATAAAACTACAAAATACAAGGGTATCTTTATCTCAAAAGTATCACAGCTTAACCAATCATATTTTAAAGTGGAGTTCATTGAATTCCTCAAAAATAATTGAAAACAATCAACCAACTAAATAAAATAATAATAAAACTGGCAATAACTTAAAGAAATAATTTATAAGTCAAGGAGATTTAGACTGCAACATGGAATACTGAAATAAAATTGAATATGAAAGGTTTCAGTATCAATAATGTTGAACATAAAACATGTTGTGCATGTAGAACTTGTATGCCTTTAAAAACATGAACTGAATCATTACATTTATTTTACAGGTTTATTCAGGAATGGGACACAGTTTTTTTTTGGACAAATAGTATATTGAATTTATTCATTATATTCATTCACAATCTTTATTTATTATAAACTTTCTTGTGGTCACAAAAACTTTCCAGACTCTACCCTCCGAAAACCTTACAGCTCTTTCAAAATGTTTGTAATACAATTTTCTGGAATATTTTTGCAAACAACATTCACCTACATAAGCTGAAACTCTGAAGATATCAATTACTGCTATGAAAACAAGTATGAAAGAGTGTAGCAACTAAATGAAGTAGATAAGTTTTTATTTCCAAATCAAGATTTTATGTATAGTCTTGGTCAAATGTTTAGGGACTCCCCTAAATTACATTTCTTCCTGTCTTTTTCCCTTTATTAAACCATATAATCCCAGATATTATTCAAATAGCCCTTAAAATGTATGATATCTTGATATAAATTTAACCTCTCTTGTGTATTGTAGAACTGATTTTATTGCAAATTTTTTGTTTTGAAAAGTCTGTAAAAGGTTAAATTTTCAAAGACTTCTAGCTTATTTTCAGGATTTTAAACAAAAAAATTAACCTAAAACACACTTTAAGTAAGATTGATAAATATCAATGAAATGTAGGAATCACCTATTTAACCACTGCTAACAACTTCCAAATACCTCAGTAAATGACTATAATCAACAGAATCAAATTAAAGGTATTGTCTGATCTTCAGTGACCCAACCCCCTCTCTGCAAGAGCGAATCCATTGCCTCTCGAGTTCTACAATGTTACTGGACATAATTACAGAGAAGGAAGATTAGATAGCAAGAAAGAGAAGAATGGTGTGAAATAGCAGTATTTACACCAAATTCTTCTGAGTCAAATCTCACCAAATGATCCCAATTAAGAATTAAGGTTGTTTGGGTGTCAGAATCACACAAGGGAACTAAAATACAGAAATATGATGATGATGATTCAAAAAGGTTTAATTCATGTATATATAATTTGTGTACATTTCTATATAACACCAGTGGACCCGGCAATTTCAATAGACAAAAGACTTTCTCGCGAATGTGGTTCTGACACTCTCTCTCTCGCTCTCTCTCTCGCTCGCTCTCTCGCTCGCTCGCTCTCTCTCTCGCTCGCTCTCTCTCTCGCTCTCTCTCTCTCGCTCTCTCTCTCTCTCGCTCTCTCTCGCTCTCTCTCTCTCGCTCTCTCTCTCTCGCTCGCTCTCTCTCTCTCGCTCGCTCTCTCTCTCGCTCTCTCTCTCGCTCTCTCGCTCTCTCTCGCTCTCTCTCGCTCTCTCTCTCTCTCTCCCTCTCTCTCTCTCTCTCTCGCTCTCTCTCTCTCTCCCCCTCCCTCTCTCTTTCTCTGACTCTCTGTTTCTGCTTGTCTGCTCTCTGCATCTCTCTGTTTTCCTCTGTCTCTCTCCGGAGAAATTTCATTATCGCAGGGGCAGAATACATAATGAAGATGTCTTAATAATCATACTCCAGTGTGCAATGCCTTGCAACAAGTGCTGTTATGTAGAGTTCCCTATTCAGGGCGTTTGTGTCAGCACAACATCATCAACATGCATCTATATGCACAGGCATTCCCATTCTACTATGCCTATATTCTTCCTGGCAGTGCAAGCAATAAGTTGACATAGTTTTATCGCATCAGATAAATGATATGGCAGCGCATTAAGTATGAACCAACAAAAAACAAACATTGTCTTTTATATGTAACATACACTACATGGGTTTAATTTCATTAAATTTCATTTTTCAGGAACAAATTTCATGTTCAAAAACTAAGGGTTGCCTTATAATCAGGGAAATACCAAGTCTGGGAGAGACGTTTAGACTAACTGTTCTGATACTGATACTGATTTTTGTGGTGCTCCAATAAATTCCAGGAGAATAAAAGTATAGCTGTAAACCAAAATTTTCCAAACTTTTTCCATTTTGACAACCTAAAGCTCTCTGCCTCGCAACCTAAATTTTTCTGACACCCTGACCCATAAAAGAAAATATTGCACACTTAATATTTAGATACCCAATATATTATGAATACAATAAAAATATATTTCCATATTATTTACATTTTGTAAATGCATTAGTATAAATGTTTAAGGGAAGTGATACAAACAAGTAAGAGAAAATACTAAATGTAACCCTATTAATTGGATTGTTGGTGAAGTAGATACCTTTTTTTTTTTGATAAATAAATAGAGATATTGTCAGGTATCAATATTTTAATTCAACTAATGATCATTTCGATCGCATAGCGATCATCCTCAGAACTTGCAGCTTCTGGGCCGAAAAACTTTTTCCCCATAGGTATTATCCCCATGAACAACTGTTTAGGGATTATAATATGTCCAATTTAATAATATTATTTCTAAAGGCACTATTGAAAAATTTCTACTCACTTCAAAATAACTACTTCCAAAAAATGGCAACTAGAACAGCAGTTGTGTAGCCTCCAGACTTGAGAAACGAAATTGCCAGAAGATACTACAAGTATCCAAGTGAAAAACTTTTTAATACATTACCCTCTCTTTTATATTTTTTAATTTCATCACAAGGGAGAGTAAATATCCTAGAAATTGAATCGAGGGTTTACTATGACCAACTATATCTGCGCTATATCATCCACTACAATGCCAGTTTACTACAGTCCATTTCACTATATCAAGACAACACACTATGATTTATTATTATATATATTAGATTAATTTCTGTATTTTAGATATTTAATATAGACATGTAAAAGGCTATGTGTCACGCAAGAATAATTATTCTAGTATTATATTGTAATTTTTACAATCTGTAATTAATATTTTCACCAATAGTTTCAGGCCTTTAGTGGCTTCCATATACTGAAAGAGCCTTAACCGTTTTTTCTACAATCATATTAAAATGAGCAAATCTACCCACTGATTGTCATGCATGAATTTAGCCTTTTAAGACAAAAAAAATAATGACACAGTGAAAAGTTAACTCTCTCAAATGACCTTGCCATCCGATCTTACCACAAAACATCACTCATTACTTCTGCTACTTCAGGTCCTCATTGACAGATATTACTATTGTGTTACAATTGCAAAAAATAGGGTTATCATCTAACAACACATAAGTGCCATTTGCTGAACTCAAAGTTTTTCCAATTAGCAAACATGCACTTAACAACCAATACCACTTACTCCCATTGCCAACAACTCGAACATTTATTCTACTACCACTATCCATTTTAAATCAAAGTAATTGAAAGCATGGTGCACTTTCAGAATAGGAATTTGTATGGAACAAATAACACTTTATGCATTTCCAGATCACGGCCATCTGTTAAACCATCATTCACAAAAATGGTTTAGATGTTATCATGAAGTAGACATAAAAGAAAGTAATATATACATTCTTATACGATCATAGAAAAAAATGTTTATATTTCATGGCCTCACCTCTACTCCTACCCCTCTGAACAAAAAATGTTCCATCTTGTTTATGCAAAAATTAACCATTTCATGCATTTAAAAGAGTAACTATTATGTTTGCAAAAATAAATTTACTTACATTTCTACAATGAGTATTTTTATGTTACATTGCACTGTTTTTATATAGGTCTTCATTTCAGAATTCAAAGATCTCCATTTCAGAAGAATTGGCCATTATTAATTAATGCTTGAATATATCAGATAGTTCACAACAACCCATAATCAAAATGCGACACTCAGTTTTCAAAACACTCTTCTAAACAATGAGTCATGAGTCACACATGCCATTCTTTCTTTGATTTCTTGATTCCCTTCTCTATTTTGATACAACCTCACACACACATGACATTCATAAATATTCTACACACACAACTCTACATACACTCTACATTCTATATACAAATGTACACTACACTATAGAACACTACACCCCAAACCTACAACATTTCACACTTTTTACAGTCTTCACACACACACACACACACACACACATTGATCATATAAGTTCCTACAAATACTCACTCTTTGCACACGTTGGGAAAACTTTTCACAGAGCTTAATTTGGGTGTGTGTGGTTATGTTAGTGCGTTGCTGCTCTATAAGCAACCCAAAAAAATATGGATCAATTTTGGAAGCAGATCTTAACGAAGAAGAAGAAGATGAAGAAGAAGAAAAAGGTGAGGAAGACTGACTTTAAGCAAAAGAAACAAACTCAATGATGATGATTGTCCATATTAGCAAACTGGTCTATATACACTCAGCCGATTTCCCACTATCGCAAAGACCCTGTATCCTATATCTTCCCATGACGGATGTAATACTTCTATGTTAATATATAATCGATCAATATATAATATATATATATATATATATATATATAATATATATATTATAATGAAAACTATAGTTGTAAATATTGAGGTAATTCTTGCCACTACATTCCTATTCTCTCTATATCACCTAATGTGTTCTGTCCTTCCCATCTCTTTTGGCTATACTGTAGTTGAGGCGCAAAGATCAAAGAATTCCCACAAGTTGGGAAGATGATTGTTGTTCATAAAAATTTAACACACAGGTGTCCCTGCTTAACAATTAAAATGAAATTCTTTGTTCTGATCTCACAAGTAAAACAAAAAAAGTACTTAATGAAAATTCACATCTCAAAAGGCATGTCAAATAAGGAAATTTATTTTATATGTTAAACATCAAAACTTCAAAATGACAAATAGGAAATATTCTTACACACCAGATTTCACTTAATGTAGTTTTTCAAAACAAAAAAAATTTAATGTAAAATATTATCCAAGGAGCTTCAATCCAGTGTTTTCTAAAAGCAGAAAGTATCATATAACTATTAAACCTTTACACATTACCTGCCCTAATTGAAAATCCTGACAGTATCTATTCCTAAAATGAATTCACAAGACTGAACACTAGTGCTATGCCTGGAAAGATCATTAACTGTATTTCAAGACATGCGATACTCTTTCCTTTAACCTTTAACAAAAGACTTACAACACACTTTGTTATCAAATGTCTTTAAACACACAAATTTCTGCATTTAACATTCATTCAGTTTATTATTTTTCACAAATTCCTATTTGACAGCCACTACATCTCCATAAAAATTACACTTAAGTAATTATGTAATTGGAAAAATGTAAAATACAAGCACATTATAAATATTTAAAAAGAAATAAATACTAGAAAAAAGAAAAAGAGGATTATAAGAAGAAGAAAGATATGAAAAAGAATTAAAAAATCCAATGCCTTGCCACTATTACAGGCACAATTTTTTTAATGACTTATAAATATACTTCAGATACAAATCTGATCATACCATAAAAATAAGCAAATAAATTATTTACAATTCTACAAGAAGTCATAATTACAAACTATGTTCTTATCGTCTCAACTAAACACTGAACCAATTGATATTCACATAATGACATCAAAAGATAAAACCATTATGAATATATTTGTCAGTCACTAATAAGTGAAATATTAACTGAAGAGATAAAGTCCAGGGCAATGTAATTTAACCAAACATGAAACAAACAAATGAAAACAGTTTAAATACTAACCTCTTCTATTCACTGCCAGTGGTCCAGAAGGTAGAGGTGCCCACATCAAATGGTGGCTCTCCTGGTGACCTAATGTTCTGAAATTCATCTGGGAACAAAGCGAATGGAGTGCAGCTGTTAAGACAAGCAAAGAATCTTGTAGTCCTGAAGGGAGATTCGTGGAAGCATGTTCCTTTATACTGCTTCAATGAGAGCCAGTAACTACAAAAAAAAGAGAGCACAGATTAATCACGTAAAGTAGCTGAACTTTAATTTCTCTTTAAATTATATATTGGTAAAATTTTCAGGTAAATTTGAAGGGAGCTGCTTCCCGGGAGCGGGGGAGGCAATCCAGTAAGCGGAGTGATGTTCTGGTGGGAAAGCTCCAGGGGCCAAGGTGCAAGAGGCTAGTTTCCAGCGGAAGGGGTGTATTTGTGCGTGGGGCCTGGGGGGCGAGGTTGCAGGGTGACAAGGGGGTTCCAGAGGGGCGAGGCGGTTCAAGGGGGGCGAGTTTCCAGGAGGACAAGGAGGTCCCAAATTTTTCTTTTGTTTCAGTTTTTAGTTTGTTGGATTTCGCTCTTTCATTCTATTTTTTCTTGAATAAGAACTATTAATATTTTTAAAAATATTTATTCTTCCTGTTCATCAGAAACATATTTTGCGATGACAATCTTAACCTGAAATCTGCTAAATTTATACTTTTAAGAAGACTGTTCAACTCAAACTTCCATAAATTGCTCACACATTGTGTTTCACTCAGCTCTCTCTACTGCATGTAGCAGGAGATCTATTGGACTCTGTGACATTACTTTAAGGCTGATTCTTAATGCTAAGCATTTTTTCAGAATGAATTCACACCAATCTCACTCGCATCTTAAGGCCTCTTTTCAACATGGCTACCTAATCAAATTTCCAAATTCCCTAGTATCAATTTCTGACTAGTAATGACAGGAGCGGCAATCCTCAGAGTGATTGTGAATCAGTCCCCAGTAATGCAACTGTCAGGTCTCCTATACTTTTTGTGGCTATTGCAAAAAAGTACTTCCAGTTGGCGCTGAAGTCAAGAAATGCAAAGTCTGTAAAACACCATATCATCTGAGCTGTAGTGCTCGTCTGAAGACCTTATCTAATGGAGGAATATCGTCTTGCGGTGCTATGGTGACCACGAACAAATTGGATATGGCGCTCGAGCATCATATTTCCAATTTAAAAAAGGACCTGTCTCTCGGTCTCTGGCAGAAGACTCGCTAAGTGAAATAGAAGAACATCGTAAACAAGTTCACATGTCATCTCCTATGATTATGCCGTCGAGCCTGAAGTGGCTAATGATGTTGAGTGTCTCAACGCCAATCTTGGATCTATTCCCCTCCTTCCTAAAGTGGTGTCAGCAGTGAGAATTGGGAAGGGCCAGAGCAGCCGCACCCCTCCTTTGAAAGTGACCTTTTCGAGTAGACACTAAACTTATTCTCCATAATAAAAGCAAGCTTAAACCTCTTGGTATTTCTGCTAGAAATGGCATTAACCAAAACAACAAAAATACCTGAATACATTGAGAGCTGAATTGGAAAATTGTATTGAGAACATTGAGAATAATTTGAGAATATTTTACAGAAATGGCATTCCAAAGATCATTCAGAATCTAAAAACTTACGTCAGGGATATTCCAGAGTACCTTCCTTTAACAAACTCAATATCTATTACCAGAATTGCAGAGGCTTGCAAGTGAAAATTGCAGACTTGCAGAGATCTATCTTTTAAACAATCCTATGGTCATAGGGTAACAATACTAATGTCAAAAATCTTAGTTTGGAGAAAACAAGGGTTAGATTATGGAGTTGCACTATTCCCCACAAGCTTCCCCATGCTTTTTTGTCGTTAAGGAGGCAACATTTGACTTTGGTCATTTTACTAAAATAAAATATAGATACTTAACTTGTAGTTTCAATACTTAACCCAATTTCACCAAAAATTGACTTAAGAACTTTTACCCCTTGTCCACAGAATCATTGACTATGACATTAATATCTTGAGCAAGTCATGGTGCAACAATAGTTTTGCTGATGACGAACTTAAGATGAATAAATATACTATTTTTGTGGAGAATGTGAGAAATATCTTTCATATTATTAATGTTTCTATCAAATACACATAACAGAGACATCAGAAACTTCCAGCATTCAAATGCCACCACATTTGCAGCAATTGACTGAGTAGTTAATCTAGAAACATTTACATTACTAAGAGGCTTTTCAAAAAAAACCCCAACACATTCAAATTATTACACATTTACAATTAAACAAGAAATTAATTTTTACGCTATTACACTAATGTATCTTTTAATATAACTTTATGAACAAGAATTGGCAAATACTCACTTGTTAGCAATATCAGTACGGAAAGTTGGTGGAAGATTACAAACTCCTAAATTGATCACGGCAAGTCCCATGTTGCTATTAGGATTTGTGCCCACAGCAATGAGAGTGCGACCAATCCTGCACACAAAAGAATCTTTTATTCGTACATCTTTTAGTCTGAATGTTTCAAAGATTCATATTTCAACAAATTCATGATATATGAAATTTGTTTCCAGCTTTGATGGCAGAGCTTGCTGCTAATTCTGTATTTCCAGGATACACCTTCATGTTGGCAACACTAATCATTATACAAATCAATTATACTTATTTAATAATATAATAATAGTAAAATAATACAATAATATGTGAAGATCTGTGGTTGCTCTGTGTGGTCCAGAGTAGTCACCAAACTTATAAAGCTTCTGAGCAACAGTACAGTTTTTAAATCCTACTCTGAGCTACCAAAAGAAATAAAGAAAAATAACAAGTATGCAAGCAGCTGTTTTCATCGGTCATCTCTCCGTGCTCAGTGGAGCAACTCCCAGGTTAGCCTAATTAAAGCATGACATTGCAAACTTCTGAAATTTTCCCAACGGTTTAGTCTCTGCTCTTGTCAAACTCCCATTAATCAAGATGAGGTAACATTATGGTCATTTAGGTTCAGCAGCACACACTGATGTTACTAAATTCCATTTCAATCACTAAAATACTTACCCTTCCTTTATAAAAGACATCTATTAAATACAAACTATCATACTTATTTCAGAAGATGTCTAAATATTTAATGACATCATTATTTCTTAAATGTTTAATATGAACACAGCCTTTGCATTTTGAAGTGGTACCATTATTTTGAAAATTTGGTGTTATTGTGAACTCTCCCTCTCATCACTTCTAAAATGTGAAAAATATATTGAACTCAAATAATTTTTATAGAGATTACATGAGGTCCACAGTGAGCTCTTGCAACACACAAAACATTTACCAATACACTCTTTGTTATTGTTTAAAAATAAATGTTTTCCAATGAAAACAACAACAACAAAAAGTCCTCTAAAAACTTCAAGAAGTGAGGTTATTATTATTATTTCATCACACTGAAACATTATACTGACTATTCTACTCGTGAAATTAAAACCAACTTAACTTTACATACAAAATGCCCCAAATAGAGTGGTGTATCTCAAAATGTTTATGGCTTTTTCTATCCGATTTTCCGTACTGCATCTTCCTACTGGCCAATCATTATCTCTTACTCATCTATCTTAGGAGGTATTGTACATCAATCGCTATGTCAATATCCAACAAACTGTGAATGTCCTATTACATAGCCTCTTTGATTTTAACATAGCTTTAAGTTATTTTCAATATTTGACGCATTTTGGATCTCTGGGGACAGAATTTCACTCATGGTATAGTCCTCTTAAATACTACTCATGTTATGGAAATTAAACATAAATCTCCTCCTTGCTTCGTGAGTTGAGAATTTATCAACAATTTCAAAAGATGTTATGGCATTACCTATAATAATTTTTTTCTTTCACATTCTAAATATGAACAAGGAATGTTGAAAAATTCTAACTTTGCCAAATAACAATCACATTACTTGTAGTTTATACACAAGGCTACACAAATGTTTTGATTAGGAGTGAAAAGAATTAACACTATCTTCACCTAAGATCACATTCAGCAGCCATTGTTACCTGACAGATGTCAACATGAGATCAGCTGCTAGTTGCAACTCTTGCAGGACCATTTCACTTCCAGGTGCAGTCACATCAGCTCGCAATAAGCTGTGCTGCACCTTCTTGATGTGTTTAGCTACTCTCTGTGGAAAGAAAAGAAAATTATTAAATAGGATGGGAAAATTATAGTTGATTCAATCCACAGACATGTAGGACTACAAATTTTAAATAAAAAAGAATATGTGAACAGTAAATCTTTAAAAAAAAAACATCATAGGAAAGGGACTCAAACTGGAAATTATATGAACCCTTTCAATCCAAAATTATTTATTATGATGAAATAAAATATTTAAGACATAAAAATGATAAAAGTGAATATCAAAAGACTTAAAAACCAGCTTTTGTGTTTGTGTGTTTGTTAGTGTGTGTTGTTTGTGTGTTTGTTAGTGAGTGTTGTTTGTTAGTGTGTTAGTGTGTGTTGTTTGTTAGTGTGTTAGTGTGTGTTGTTTGTTAGTGTGTGTTGTTTGTTAGTGTGTTAGTTAGTGTGTTAGTTAGTTAGTGTGTTAGTTAGTTAGTTAGTGTGTTAGTTAGTTAGTGTGTTAGTTAGTTAGTTAGTTAGTGTGTTAGTTAGTTAGTGTGTTAGTTAGTGTGTTAGTTAGTTAGTGTGTTAGTTAGTTAGTTAGTTTGTTTGTTTGTAAGTACATTTGATTGTTTATTTATTTTCTCATTTATTAATATTTTGATTGATGTATTGACTTTATTTGTATATATCATCTTTGACTGCTGATGGCAGTCACTATGGAGTGAATAAATGAATGAAGGAAGGATAAATGAACATATAAAAATTAATTCAATGTGCTGTGACCCGGACCAGATAATTGGGGGATATAAAGTTTGGGGAAAAATCCTACCTACTTACAGTTCAGCGGCTAAGATTGTTTATAGAGAGATGGGTAATCATGGACAAATAGACTTCTTGGTGTAAACATACTTTTGGGAATCAAAGACCCATAAAATGTGGATTCTGATTACACAATATGTTAGAAGAAGTAATTTACTACATATAGAAACAAGAATTATTTACTTTTTCAGTATGAACAATAGGGCAAAAGATGCAGTCAGAAAAGGCAACAATGCAAACAAAATTACATGCAAATAATAGAAAACACAAAAACAAAATTGCAAATTAAGAGAATGAACTATGAAACTAGATCCTTAATTTTATCAAATTCCAAAAAATGCATTGGAACATGACATGGCTTTTAGTACATACCAATAATACTCTAAATACTCTCTGAAAGTACTCCTATATTCTCTCGTATACCCCCACCCCCCTCATGTACCCTGGACACATTACACGTTTAATGACAGTGCAGCAGCACAGGCCAAAGCGTGGATTGCTAAACAGGTTACTATTAGGAACATTGGTAACATGGTAAATGGGATTGTTTAACATCAAAACTAGTACCACTGTACATAAAAGCATAGTTTTCAGAAATGCTGGAAAATATAAAAAAAATTGGAGTATTCTACTGTGCATACATATATGAGGCCTTGCAAAGCCAAAGGAGCTAATTTTTCAAAACAAAGGTTTTGATATCTAAATATTATATAAATCGGTGCCAATACAAAGTTAAAAGAGCAATGTTTAAAGCACCTTCCAAATAGTTGTAGTGTCTACCTAGAGATGGCTAGTTGTACGTCAAGAATACAAATTCATAGATTTTATTAATTCCCCCCTCCAAAATAATTTAAAAACACAACAACAAAACATTTTTGGCATTAAGGTCCCTTGACTTTGCAAGGTTTCATATACCTTTGTTGAAAACACTACTCACTGCAAAAACATCGCTGGTGAGATGGTCCAAGGCCACTCCATCGGGATCACAGAGCAACTGGTACAATGTCGAGCCCTCCTGGGGCGGGAGGTCCTGCACATCACCAGGTTCCTGGGCTCGCGCAGCGCGCACTGTGAAGGTCTCTGCATGCCCCAGGTCCATGATTGCCCGCCCTGTCACTCCTCCGGGGTCCATGAACACGTGCGTATTCAGTAGATCAGCCAGAGTGTTGTGCAAGTAGTCCTAAGGAGTGGAATTTCACGTTGTCAATTTATGCTTCTCGTGTTTAAGTGCTGAGGTATTTGCAAATGAAGGTGGATTCAAAATGTTTATGAATGTCAACATCTCATTACCCCCAACCCCCAAGTAGTCATGAGGGAGTATTTTCTTCCATGATAGGCTACCAATGTCAATACATACCATATTTACCTGAATATAAGACAAGTTTTTTTCCCAAATATCTCAGACAAAAAATGTGGGGTCACCTTATATTCTCAGATTAAGCTTAGTTGGGTTTAAGTTTTTATATTGCCATTCTCAGTCACGAAACTCGCAAATGTTGGTGTAACAATAATCAGTGAAGACAGTAAAAGCAGCGTGTATATCTAAAATACGTAATTATATTTGCAGCCGTATTTTCAGCATCCACTGCGAATTTGCCGGGCAATTCAGACCAATATTTTTGAATATGTTGGTAAAGAGAGAATTTCAAACAAATGGCACTGTATCAAATGAAACGCAATATGAAAATTAATGCCGAAAGTGTGTTAGATGATGCGGGGTCACGGATGCCGCATGGAATCTTGTATGATGCCCTGCAAGTGCGAATCTTTATACATTTTGAACTGTTAAAGAAAAGAAACAGAGGCCATCAACATGTGTAGGACTTAAAGAAAATCTGGTGACACAGAAGAGAATGTTCTCTCAGGTGGCATCTTATGAAAATCTAAGAACAATGCAAATTCAGTGCAAAACTTTCAAAACTCAATGTCCCAGCATGGGAGGAAAGGAAGGGAATATTGATACTGTGTAGAAGACAAGGACAGTGACAAAAGCCATGATTATGATGATTTTAAGAAACAAGAAAATGATAGTTCAGCAGTAAGTCTTAACATTCTCAACAAAAATACAATTTCTAGTCAATAAGAAAATTTGCAATTTTATTTTGACTAAATAGTAAGAATTAGTAAAAAATTTAAAAAATTCTCAGGACCCCTCATCAAAATTAGAAGGTTGTCTCATATTCAGTTGACTTCTATTCAGATAAAAACAGTACTTATAGTTTGTTGATTTTCCAAAACATCCTAAATGGTTACATAACCAATTATTTGGATGCCCTGGTGCAGAAAATCAAAATGGGGCCACCATATGCACTAAATACGAAATTAACAGTTTTAAATACAAGGAGACAGAGAAGAGAAAAAAAGCATGGAGTGCATTTTTTGTATTCTTGGCCAATATTTATCCGCAGGGGGTCCTTATTAAGAGCCCCTTACTTCCTTGAAACGGTGTGGTGCACAGTTGAACCAGTCTAACCCTGCATTTTTCATGGCTGACCACTCCTTTACAACGATTAAGGGTAGGGCGAGTGATCATTTCCGGCTGCAGGCTAGCAACCTGCTTGGTTTTTAGGAGTTTGTGATTTACTCATTGGTACATGGTTCAAAAAGATTGGTACTATTCCTTTGTCCCTCCGCCTCTTGGAGCTTTCTTAACCAATCTATTACTCACAATAAATGGACTGCACTGATACTTTTAAATGTTTTATCTTCCTTGGCACATGCCGTAAGGGAAACATGCTTTCTCTCTCCTTCTATCCTCTTCTCAAAGCAAAACCTATTGAAATCTATACATTCAATACATCACTTTCTTCCAATAAGGGCAAGGGAAAGGGTTTGGTGTAACAAGAATTAAAATAAAAGTGTTTGTGTGTGTGTGTTAATAGGTGAGTGATTTGTTAATAAGGCCTTAAGTAGCTTCAAGAATAGTCTGGAAGTCAATTAAATCAATAAAGAAGGGACGTGATACCACTGATTTAGTTCAATTAATCTAACTGGTTCATGTAGTTTATGAGACAACCATTAAATACCACATTATATGGCAATATAACTAGTTACTGTTACCATTACTTCAACATCATCATCATCATCATCATCATCATAACAACAAGAATACATTAGCTCCTTACCCAATGTGTGGATGGATTCCATGCAAGCCCAGCAGCTACAACGAAGCCAGGCCAACTAAATGGATGCGGAGTAAGGTGATACGAACCAGACCAGTGAGCAACTACTATGCCCAAAGATCTCAACTCAACAGCAGCTTGAATAGCCAGGTACACATTACATACAGCTGCTTCTGGACATCCTGCCAAACTGCAATTAAGGAAAAATTGACTTTCAGAAACTGTGATTAAGATCACATTCAAAAGGCTTTTTTAAAAAACGCCATCAGTGTAAGACGTCCACAAGCTTAAGAAGAGAAGGTGTTCTGAAAAATCTTAACAGACAAGGGTAAGAGGGACAAGGGTCAGGAGGTCCTGCTTAAATTAGTATTTATAAAAAAAGTAATAAATAAATAAATAAATAAATAAATAAATAATTTAAAAAAATTAGAGTATTACATAAAATGACATATCTCACACAAAATGCAATATCCCTATGGTTACCTGAAGAGAAAGTGATGTTAACAACCAATAAGAATAATAAGTTAATCTTGGTGGATTTTGTAGAATCCCAAAAAACTGACATTAGTACCCTTTTGTCCCTTTATCCTTTGTTGTCGCTTAATCAACAAAATCATTGTCTTTGCATTATTTCAACTTTATGTAAACAATAATTATAGAACAGTAAAACATATCTATATCTACATAATATGACCAAAGTCCAAAGTAAGTCAAATGATCTGAATCTATGTAATAACTTACAGTTAATTTGCTGGGTAAGTTAAGTGGCAACTGAAAAATTCAAGCCATTATCTCCTTTACATACATGCTTTTTCTGCCAAAATTACAAAATTCTCCTCGATTGTATCATGTAGACTCATAATTTTGTAAATAGCATTCATGCACTTACCAGTTTTCACACAATACACTTTGGGGTACTTTGGCTTCTCTGTCAACACCTGCATTCCACTACGCTTTATGAACAGTAGAAAGTTTTTACAATCAATGAATTTTTATTCACTGATTCTTAATTATTTATAAGCTATTTTCATTGCAAATGAATAATGCTGTCTTCTTAGAACAACTTTTTCATAAGCAGTGCTTGAATATGTCCACACTTCACTATCACTCCAACCATGCCCAGCAGTTCTGATTGACATGATAACAATAATAATAATTCCAATAATAACAATAACTGTATTAATACCAAATCTCCTAATCAAAAACTACAAATAATGTACTTTTACTATGTAGAAGTATCCAATTCCCATATTAGAAGAAGACTATTATAAATGCTGCAGATACTATGAACTCATAACAGAAATCATCAATAACTTGACAGAGTCTATTACAAACTGAAGAAAGTTTTTTTTAAAATAAAAATCACAATGAAACTCTCCATTCCCTATTCAAAAATATAGATGAAAACAACTTACCTGTTCCAACTAGCTGTTCCAGGACATAAACAAGTCAGAGCACCATGTCTCCTAAACTGTTGTGCCCATTCCAGAAAGTCGTAATCTGCCTGCGAAGTAAAACAATGTTCAGTATTCTCCAAGAAGGATCGATATTTATGAAATTGACACACACTCTCAAACGTAAGTCTTTTGCTGTTTATGGGAGAGAGGAGAGAGAGAGAAAGAGAGAGAGAGAGAGAGAAAGAGAGAGAAAGAAAGAGAGAGAGAAAGAGAGAGAGAGAAAGAGAGAGAGAG